ACATTTATCGACAATATATAATAGACCAAATGAACATTTATCGACAAGATATAATAGACCAAATGCACATTTATTGATAATCCATATAAGACCAAATGATGAATAGGAATTGAAGCATAAATCAAGTTCAATCCATCTTGATCTATTTGTATAGGATTCAATCAGTTGATGTTCACATGAATATATAATATATAGCCATTCGATGAAATATAACATAAAGAATGATAGAATAATAATATTAATAGAAATATCCATATATAGAAGTAGACTAATCTAGAAAACATTGGAATGTTGAAAGAAAAAAAAAAGATGAACTAGTTCATCTTATGTTTTTGCTTTATAACAAACACATTTTTATATAAAATTGTGACAAATAACAAAAGTACATATGTTAAGATGAGAATATGCTCAATTTATAAAATATTTGAGTAGAAATAAAATGAGGTAATTTCTTGTGTTCATCGTACTCAAAATGAATAGATAGATCAGACAGAAAAATTATGCGATTATTATTTTGAATTGTTATTAGTGAATCTATATAAACTAATACGTGAACAATTGCAAAAGATGTCGCTCTTGTACAGTCAATCATTGAAATAAGTAGTTTATGAATGAGGAAATATGATGAGTTTTCTAAAAGTATACGAATAAAAGATAATTATTTTTAAACTTATTTTACATATTATAATGCTAACTGACGAATTCTGCAAGAAAATCGAATTACTTTGGGCATACCAAAAGTAGTGGCGTCAATATCTCAATTTCTTCTAGATCGCATGAGAAAATTTTCTTTTTTTTTATGAACAGATAGAGCGTCTTTCGCTCTATTTTTCTATGTTATTTAATCACTATTCAATTGGTATCATAATAATAAAATTTCGATAAGAACTATTTTTCTGTACAACTTCACTAATATGTCAGGCAGATTATATGGGCACACTGTGCATTTTTTGGATTTCAATTTTCGATCACTTGATAGGTTTTATTAAAAAAGGAGATATACCACTATATCTATATACAGCATGAAAACCTCTACAATTTTTCAAGAACAGCTTATTTTATATTTCAGATAAAGAACAAGAAAATTTTCTTCATATAGAAAAAGATGATTTTTTTCGGGATAGTTGGAGACAATTTTACTTTTTTTTGGAAACAGGAAGTACGCAATTAAAATAAGAGATCTTATGCAAATTGTAGCCCTTGTCACGTTGCATTTTTTGATGTATTTTTGTTTGTTTTTTTTTAATAAAAGATACCAGATGATACAACGATGAAATAAGAAAAAATCAATTGATCTTGTAGCAGAAAATATATCGCTTTTGCAAGGTCGAAAATTGATCGCTCAAAATCTTGCTCATTATAATAACAAAAAGTGCAACTATAAAATAGGCGATCTTATGTAAATTATAGAGCTTTTCACGATGCATCTAGTGGTATATTTTATTTTTCTGATACAACCTGTAGTCATTTAGTGGACCTCACATATTGGTAAAGTTGTACAGAAAAATAGTTCTTATCGAAATTTTATTATTATGATACCAATTGAATAGTGATCAAATAGCATAGAAAAATAGACCGAAAGACGCTCTATCTGTTCACAAAAAAGGAAATTTTCTCATGCGGTCCAGAAGAAATTGAGATATTGGCGCCACTACTTTTGGTATGCCCCAAGTAAAACTAAGTTTATGCAGCGGCGGCGCGAACGGGGGGAAGGGGAGGGTACCTCTCCTCTGCTTTTGGTAATAGTTTTCTCCGATTTGAAGAGAAAGTACGACTAAAGTTTGCTCCCATTTAATGAGAAAATTCATGTAAAATTCTCTGAAATCAGGAGAAAATTCATCTAAAATTCTCCAAAATCCGGAGAAAATTTGTCTAAAATTCTCCGAAATTCGGAGAAAATTCATCTATTATTTCCCGAAATCGACAGCAAAGACCCGATTAAAATCGTCAAAGATTTTGGTTCGATTTATGGACTGTCTATTCTCTGTGGTTGTTACGAAGAACTTACTTAGTAATATTTTAACCATCTACAATCTGAAACTTTCAACTTTTTTCTACATTCTCCCATTTTCAAAAATTGGGTGTGGGTGTGGGTGTGTGTGCGTGT